TCGAGGACGACGGAGAGGTAGTCATGGACGCCGACGACGATTTTACGGATACACACATGTCCATGGAAGTGGACGTACCATTTCAAGTTGTATAGAGCATGGGAAGCGGAAAGGACCGCATCGCTTGCCGCCGAAAACACTAAGTAAACCGCGATTCTGGCCAGCACGCGCTATGGTCGGCACCCAACTATGGGAGGACAGGGTACGAAAGCACTCAGACCCTTTGGGGAAGAGTTGCTTGAATACATGCTCAGTCGTCGCAACGACGAGAAGTTTCTTAGAGTGTTCCACCTGATGTTGTGGATTAAGCGCAATCGAGAGCATTGGCTTCATTCTTACCTCGCCACGAAAACAAGTGTGGGTCATGACTACTGACTTTGAGCCATCTTCTCCAGCTGTTCAGCAAGCGGCATCGTTTCTCTGATCGGGGCACCATGCGTCAACAAGGTCAAGCAGACTGTGTTTGACGAAGTGTGGATTGGATACGCAGCGCAGTTTTGGGGCAAGTATGGCCACTACGACAAGGCCAGCATACTGAATGCAGACGAGACCGGTGTCTACTTCGACATGCCGCCTGGATAGACGTTGGCTGAAGTTGGCAAGTCCTTCGAAGGTCGACAAGACGAGCAAGCACTCTGAGAGAATTTCTATGGTGTATACAATCCGAACAGGCGGTGAGATTACAAACTGAACCACATGACTTGAACGATTCTATAGGCGTGAATTTGCCGCTACTGTTCAGTTCATTGTCAAGGGGAAGCCGGGCGGCACAATTGAAAAGGGCGAGCTGTCCCCATACGATCGTCACGTGTATGCTGTACAAGCAAATGCTTGGATGGATGACCGTGTTTGGGCCATCTATCTGGAGCATTTGCTTGCGCAGCATGTGGATGATGCCTCTGTCGTTTTGGCCGACAACCTCGATTGCCATGTCTCGGGTGCATCTCACCGACAAGGCGATTGAGGCAAGTTTAGCGTGGTGGAACCATTGTCACCGAATTCGACGAGTCGATGCCAGCAGCCGCTCGACGTTGGCGTCATGGGCCTACTGAAGGCACTTCTGATGTCGGAATGGTTGTTTGAGGACAACGATCGAGAGAGCGACGAAATGACAGCGCAAGACAAGCGGAGTGCGACAATCAATCGAACAATTCGATGTTGGGACCGGATTTCATCTGAAACGGTTACAAATGCGTTTGAAAAGGCAATTCCTTCTGTAATTGAACTTTAGATATTTGGCACAATTACTGATCTCCACCCTTAAACGAAACGGAGCAAATTATGCAATTCACACAGTAAATTAACTCTTACAGGTATTTGCAGGCTGTCTGAACCAACCATTTATACATGCATTCAAGCGCTGGGCGTCTCCAAGTCAGAGCTGAGTATGCCAGTGCGTCTCCAGCAGTTTCTCACAGTGGAAATGATGTCATCCATTTCAATGCCAAACGATTCAAGTGTTCGAATTTTGAAAAAGTCATCACCTTCCGATATGGTTGGATAATATAAAGTTTCAAAAATTATCAAGTTTACCCCGTTTCGTTTAAGGGGGGAGATCAGTACGTACAATCGCCTCGGCATGGCGTGTTCAGAAGATTGTTGCATTTGTATTATGACATAAAAACAATTATTTTTCCTATATGTGAATTTATCCCCATGGACGTACTCAGGTTCCAGCGCACACGGACTATCTGGTATATCATACATCGACACGGGGATTGTATTGATCCCTATAACGCCAGGTTCCCAAGCTAGAGCTCTACCGCGTGAGCTTTTTATCCCCACTTTTCTATTAGCCTCGCCCATCGTAGTCACTAGAAACGTACCCTTTCCTCTTGGTTGATCATGTTGAACGCTTCTTGCAATTTCAACGCCTCCAACCCATGCCCGCTCCCTGAACCATCTGACAAATACTCAGGAGACCGACGTCAAGGTCCCAATGAGTGCTATGATACCGGGAACTCACCTACTTCGATTTTACCGTTGCCTCCAACCGCCGTGCTGCCTGACGATGCTGACGTGGCAACCCACCCGTCCACTGGTGGCGATTGGCCTCCGCCTGGTCCTCAGCGCCTTTGGGTCAGCGAGCCTACATGTCTACCTGGACCGGTGGCTCCGTCGCGCACCACGCAGCTGCCGCCGTCGTTGCCTGTCGAGTTCGAATATGGAAACCTCGATTTACCTGTTGCGAGCGCTGATTTTGAATTTCAACCAATCAGTAATCGCGATTAGGGAAATCCGAATTTAACCAACCAATTAGGAATTTTCACGTTGGTCGACTCCAGCCAATCGGTGATCAAAATGCAGTGATAATTCCTGGAATTTCCCCATTGGCCAACGCAACTGAAGTACAGCCGACACCGCCTGTACTTTCTGGACCTGCAGCCTCCACTGGACTACACTAAGGTCATTCGTGGGTTCAGTGCTGCTGCCAAACAGCACACCAAGGCTGCCTTTGTCCCGCCCCCAGCAGACGCCATCGAAGCGATCCTATTTGAGCTCACGAAGCCAAAAAAGGATCGCGTCGACATCCTTGCAAAAATCGATCTGGCCAGGCCATACACCCCTAAGGTGGCCATCGCTCGTTTCACTGTAGATACTGGTGACGCACTTGCTACCCAGTCGCACAAGGCCATTATGTCCTCGCTGTTTGCCAGTGCGCAAACAGACACGGCAAAATTTCTGCTGTCTGAATTCGTCCAAGTCACTGGTGGAATTATGGTTTCAGTGACATCTTCAAGTGCTTTACCTCATCCCTGTGCACGAGGAGCACCCATTGGACTCTCTTTGTTTCATGGACATTACTGGCATCCGCGACAAGTTTGACGCAGCTCAATTCTACCGCAAGCTGACCCAGCTCGGCGTGGATGTGATATACCACAGCCACCACGGCCGCGCCGAAAAAGGCCAAAAAGGCAGAAATGCTACGCAATCAAGGGAAAACATGGTGACACCTGAGAGTAAAATCGCTGACACTGTACCTTCCCCACGCCCCTTCCAATTCTCCCTTCAGCAATCTGTTCGACCCGAAGAGCCATCCAACTCGTTAGCCCCTAGCGAGCACGTTAGCGTATTCGAGGACGACGGAGAGGTAGTCATGGACGCCGACGACGATTTTACGGATACACACATGTCCATGGAAGTGGACGTACCATTTCAAGTTGTATAGGGCATGGGAAGCGGAAAGGACCGCATCGCTTGCCGCCGAAAACACTGACGGAGTTTGCGACCGCGAATTTCTTTGAGGTCCTTCGGGCCTACAATGGTGGGTTCGATACCATCAAGTGGAAGGACGACCAGGATATTCTAACCATGATACCTACGTTTCAACCGAGAATTCTGCTAAGAGGAACAACGAAACCAATGCATCATGACGATGCAAGTGATCAACAACACTGTGAAGTTTGACGTCGAATTAATGACGATTGGGCGACTACATTTGATACTCCAGGACTCAATCGAACTGCTCCAAACCGAAGAACTTGCGGACATGGAACGTACCGTTGCTGAGGCTATTGCGGACGGTCTCGGAAGCATAACGGAGCATGTGAACACAGGCCAAGCGGACAAAGTCCAGGCCCAGGTGCAAAAGAAGCACCTATCAGCCAACGTGGCGCTGCATGGCATGGCTGGCTCGGACCCTAAAATGTTTGAGTCAGTAATCCAGCTGCACACATGACAGCGATGGTTTGCAGCATCAGCCGACACAAAAGTACAATCATTCTCGAATACGTACAAACAATTGTATGGGAGTATAAGGCTTGGGTTTACCCAACTGCACCACCACCGTGGGGAGATTAAAGCTGGCACTGCCTCAGGGTCGACAGAACCCTTGACACCCACGCAAATCCTCGTGGAGGATGCTCTATCACTATTCGAACTGTGGTTGAGTATCATGGCGCCTACCTTTTTCAAACGCGACGCGTGGGTGTTGTGCTTGACGGGAAAACCTGTCATTTGGCTCACCACAGGCACCGGGCGTCTACTCATTTCGAACACATTGATGCTAATTCTGCGCTCGGCGCTGAGGAACAGTGTGTTGCAACGTTTGGTGAGACACTTACCTGACCACGCCCTGCTACAACAGCTGACGGTCATGTCCGAATGGACTCACGTTTATGGGGAGGATCAAACGCTGTCGGTACGCCAAGAAGGAACAGACCGCGTCCAGCGCCTGATCGAACTAGGTCTATTAGGCCTAGCGAGTCGGGGCTAGGTTCCGCCTACCGTCAACGACAATTACCCCATCCCGTCCATCAAACTCCATACCTGTAGTGTCAATGGTATCTCGCCCGTTGATAATGGTCACACTTTTGTCGAATGCATCGTGCGTGGGGCAAATGTCGTAGCGATACAAGAAACAAAACTCAAGGACAGTCATCACCTGTCGACATTCACCTACCACATACAACACGTAATCGGACATGGCAAATATTTCATTGCTGTGAATGACCCGCGCGTTCACCCCGACTATATCCCCGCTCATGGTGACGACCCGGCGTACCGCAGCGGTGGTGTTGCGCTGGTGTTCGACGACACGGTCCCTGGCGCCACCTGTCGGAACACTACGTCCCCTATAATTACATGGTAGTTAGCACGCAATGGCAGGAGACACCCGTATACTACCACTGCGTATATACGCCTGTTCGATCGGCAGAACAGACCGAGTACTTTGACAACCTATCATGCGACTTCCCTGAGGATAGTATTCATCTGGTCATGGGAGATTTGAACCTACCGATGCATTTATACCTCGGCGTGGAACCGACCAAAACGTGGGTCAAGTCAACTGTCTCGAGTGGCTTGCAGCGCTTCGGGTGACGGACGCGTGGCGCATGCACCACGACGAGTTCAGGGCCTATTCAGGACCACATAAGCGGACCCGATTAGACTACATCCTTGCAGATACGCACCTGGTGCGAGACTGCTACGTCTCAAGTGGTTATCAGCGGCCAGATGCGCATGTTGCGGGAGATCACGCGATTCACACGCTAGTCCTAGAGGACGTACATCAGACCATGGGTATAGGGTATTGGAAAATGCCGAAAGAGCTAGTACAGTACCCCCAAGTGCGAGAGGCAATCGCGACTGAGGCATCGCGATTACTTCATGACATTCGAACCGCATATAATCCTGGCGTCGTGTGACATGCCTGGAAGAAGAGTACCCGGCGGTCCCTGCAGTTTCCCACCGTTTTGTCAGATCACACTACATGCGGGAAAAGGCGACCGCCGCTGGGCGATTGACAGAAGCGCGGCGGCTGCACACTGAAGGTCACTCTACAGACCAAGACCTTGTGGAGGAAGAATCTACGTTGAGACAGAGGACTTGTGGAAGTTGTACTATTCCAACCTTACGTTCGACGTACATGCGGGCAAAAATGAGCGCTCAACGGCCCATTTCTTCCCCCCACCAACTAAACTGCTCTACAAAACACCAGTTAGATCAGTGAATCAACGCGATGGAACAGTGTTGACAGACCCGGACACCATTCAACGTGAATTCGTGGACCACTGGACACGCGTCATGTGTGACAACGATCCTGCCCCACCGAATAGCGCTGTCCGCCGCCTTCCTTCAAGTCGTACAAAAACGTTTGACAGTGGAGTATCGGGAAGCACTGGAGGCAGTCATTACCGGATCAGAGCTACAACGCAGCATTGAAACAATGGTGCCACACCGTACACCAGGCCCAGACTGATTTTCTGCCTGGTTCTACCAGGTGGCTCCCGCGGTGTTTGGAGAAATCATGTCCATAGCCAACAGAATCGTGGCATACTCTTGAAATGTCAACGTACCAGTGAGGTAGTGCTGATGTTCAAAAAGAACGACCGGGCCGACCCTGGCAACTACATGCCGATTTGCTTGAATGCCTGTAGAGGTTAATATCCCCAGTCGCCACTTGTCCTCGCTACATCCTCGACTCGTACTACCGGCCCAAAAGGGCTTTCGGGCGGCGGCTACACGACCACACAGTGTTCATGTTAGTCCTACAACACACATGCACAGCGCGCAACCAGGAGGGATATGCCGCCTTCCTGGACTTTGCCAAGGCATACGACCGTGTCTCGTGGACCTACATGTTTGTCACATTGGACACGTTTGGCTTTGGACCTAAGTTCATGTCGTGGACTAGACTGTTGTATACGAATCCATTGGTACACCTACGGGATCAAATCGATGCCGATACATCCCAATCGCGGGGTGAAACAGGGCGACCCGCTGTCATCGCTGCTCTTTGTGTTGACACTGGAGCCACTCAACCAACTCCTACATAATTACGCGGAGTATGGAATAGAGCTAACCATGGACCATACCGCGACGACGCTGATGTTCGCCGACGACACGACCTTGTTGGCGGGGCGCATTGCTCATCTACAAGCGCAACTGGAGTTAGTCAGCCAGCACTGCGCCGTGTTAGGAGCCAAACTGAACATAGACAAAACGGAGATTCTGGTGTTAAACTCCAACCAACGAATAACGTTCGTCCATGGCCTATCGTTCGCCGCGTCGGGTCGGCCGATTCGTTACCTCGGCATCTTGTTGGGACACAACCTACCAGCGGGATACCAAGTTAACAGACTCACGGATAAACTATACGAAGCCTTCCGTATCTGGGGTTGTCGCGCGCACAATGAATGACCGACGCCTGCTGGTCCAGACAGTTATCCTGTCGATCTTGTGGCACTTCACGGCGGCGGTAGTCGTGCCGCCAAAACAGTTCGCAGCCTGGCATTCACTTGTGAATAAATTCATCCAGAATAGGGTTGTAGACCTTACACAAAAGACTGTATCACTGATGCAATCGGCACATCAATACGATAAGTCAGTAGGGTGGCGAGTATCCCATATCTCGTCCATCATCGCATCGCAACGGCTTGCCCGCTTACGCGTGTTGATGCGATCACCTGCGGAAAAAGACAATCAGTGGGCATGTTTAGCACATGGAATGTTTGATGCAGCGCTCGAACCGGGTAATCGACCGGATCGGTTCGATTTCTTGCACTATCGACCCAACTCACGCAGCGCTGTCCACCGCCTCGCCATGGTTTCTCCGCTATGGAATGACATCTGGAAAACATGACTGTGCCTTCCAACGGGTTAACGCAGCCAATCAAAACCTACACTGGTACAACTATGTAACATGCCGGTCTGGCGTCAAACTAACCTGTTGTCCTCTCGCACGAAGGCGGCCCATCGGTCAACCTACTCTCATCCTTTCGCCAAAGGGCAAGGAGTGGTACAAACACATGATGAGATTAGGTTTTCACTGTCTAAGAGTTTTCCTTACCCCTTCTCGTAGGTCGCCAACTGCCGACGAGTTAGACGACATCGTTGTACCTGCAATACGACGGTTAGAGTATAATGGATCAGTACCATACTCACTGGCACCAGTATACCGCAGACTTACCACCATCGCACGGCAAGTCTATGGCTATGTGGTGGGCCATGACTTTACACATGCCGTACCACTCGAGGTCTCTTGGCGTCTTCCGTTTAACGCGTCCTACCAGGATACGATAACGGAATTTCGGGAATGGTCAGCACAACATATCAAATTGCATATTTTTTGGGCGGGTAGGTTAAAAACTGCCTTTGCAGAAATTGATTGGCTAATTCGTGTGCACCTTAAATTGGATCGAGTACCCTAAATTGGACTTTTAATGGGCGTGTTGTAACCCACCCGTAACCACCCCATGCTAAGTACACACGGCGGAGAATGTGGCAACGTACATTAAACTGTTCCGCCACTTTGTCGTTGTCGCCACTTCCATGCAGGCTGATGTTTGGAACCGTCTGCAATACCGTGACCTACCGGTTGAGTACTGCTTCTACAGGGTTCTCGTTTTAGGCGCATGCGCCTCTGGCGCATGGTCCGGTTAAGCGTTATCCGGATATGCATCCTTATTTGAGGTTTGGTTTTTGTCAAAAATAGGATTGTCAAAAATAGGATCGAAGTACAGCATTGCGTGGCAGAGATGAAGGATGGCAAGCGCAAAAGGGACTACAACAAAGAGACCCGGGCGTGTATGTTATGTGGAGAGACAAACGTCAGCTATCGAAAAGATAGTATAGTTAAGCACTTGATCAATCACAGATCAGACGAACATGCCCAGAGCATTGAATGGGACGGGCCAAGGAACCCGCTGCAGCCGCGACAACACTTTGAGGAGCGCGAAGGTGTAAACTTGCCATGCTACATTGATGACAAGTATGACACATCGGACAACTCCACCAGCCAAAAAGGTAACATAGTTTATCATGATGCTACTGATATACTAGTGTAGATGATGGTGGCGATGACTTTGACGAGCACTTGGAGCGCCTGGTTGCACTCCCTGCGTCGTTCCGGGGTTATCATACGAATGCTGGGAAGTATTTGTAAACAACGCGGAGTGCCTCTTCCACCAATGCCTGTTCAACCCGAGGCTACTGTTGATGAAGAATTTCAACCTGAGTGAACTGCTGAAGTGAACCACCGAAGCCAACGAAGCGAAAAAAGGCCGACAACTTGTCCAAGCTTTTGAAACATTTAGGGCACATTTAGATTTAGATGTGTTGAAGTAATAGACAGTTGTGATAATTTTCGGACCTTAGATTGGTAAAAGTAAAGTGCAGAATACAATGAAGTACTTACAAAAACTTGCAAACTTCAGAAAACTTAGGAAAACTTCCGAAACCTTAGGAAAACTTCAGAAAACTTCAGAAAACCTCAGCAAACTGCAGAAAACTTAGGAAACTTAGGAAAAATTCAGAAAACTTCCGAAAACTTCCGAAAACGTAAGAAAACGTAAGAAAACTTCCGAAAACTTGAGAAAACTTCCGAAAACTTAAGAAAACTTCCGAAAACTTAAGAAAACTTCCGAAAACTTAAGAAAACTTCAAGCCGACACAATGCACTTAAATACATCGGGTGGCTTTCAAGGCGCCATCGTGGATGGAGGTTGGCCAGGCACAATAGGGGGGCATCAATTCGACAAAACACCTTAATATATATTTTTAATACTAAATTATTAAATAATTGGCATACCTGACAGATTCCGGCACATGGAATCTTGCTACTCTTGAACTCAAAGCAATCACAGCCCGGATGTCCTCCTTCCTGACCAAGTAAAATCCGATGCGCTGCGTCCGCCACATCGTCGAAGTGCGAACCCGACACATACCAAATCCCGGCAACCTTGGTGACATGAGGCGACGTCTCTGCCTTCAGCACATTCGCTCGCCATAGGCCGTCGACGTAGTTCGACCAGCGCCGCTTCGCCACCAAAAGGGTGACCAATTCGTCGCATGCCTTGATTTCTTGTTGTTGAAATATGCCCCATAAGTGCTCGGCCAACTGGAGAAGGTTGAAGCGACGCAGCTCTTTTTTCTTGAGCCCTATGAAACTATCACAGACTATAGTACAAAGGATATTACCATTCTCTTTGATAACAGAGTTCATGCTTGCACCGCGCTGCGTGGCCAGGCTGCTGCATGTGAAGACGCTTCCTACCATGTATGTTATGGTGTGTAATGAAGCATTAAGATCGATAAATGAAGCATTGTGATAGATAAATATTATTTGGTGGACATTATTTGATGGACATTACAACCTGTGAAGGCACGGCACACCTTTTCTTTGTGGCGAGATATACTGAGCAATGCCTTGACCGGCTCCTTGGCTAGACCATACTTTGCTTCCGCCACATCAAAGCGAGTTTGAAACTCAACTTCGGACATCGTCGTGTACAGTAGCGACGTGCAATCCGCCTTGAATGACTTTGCCAGTGCACCAAGACCTGTGCAACCTTTGAAGATGACACCCTCGAAGTGCTTAGTGCACAAAATGTGCACCATGCCCAAGTCCGACGCAACCCCTATTTCATGTACATTGTCACCACCGTTAAAATCAATAGGAGTTATGTGTCGTGCATCGTGCACGATATATGACTATATCAATTACCTGGGTATGCACTGCCGCCATCAGTCACAAGGTAGACCCCGCTACATGCAACTGACACAGCCCCAGTTTCACAGACTACATGATGTATTTTCTTAAATTTACAGTCCGCGAGGTCATCGAGGGGACCAGGCCAACTCATGAAAATTTATAATCATTTTTCAGAGGCATAATTGTTTTGCGAAGTGTGACCTCACCTCTGGAAATCCTATATCCTATGAACACTGTATTATAGAAGTACTGGATGACACGAGGTTTGACATTAATCATCAATGTCACTGCTGCTGCTGCAATCGCTTGATGACGACATGTCCTCACCGTCAGACGTGTCGCTGTCACCTCCTTCATTGTTGCTGGTCGCCGCCGCGTCTTCAGCCTTACGAAGTGCACTGTCGAGCTTCAGAAGCTTGGTCGTCGAGGAAGCGATGGTGCTTTGGATAACCTCTGAGTCCAACTCATAGAACGCGCTCTCGAGACGATGGAGGACATCTTTGAATGTCGTCGTCGAGGTATAAGCTCGGCCGACCGTACCTTTCACATTCGCCCAGACCAATTCGATGGGTTGGAGCTCGGAGAACCCAGGTGCGGCATACATGACATGGTGGCCGCGTGCTTCGGCCATCGAAACCACCATCGGCTGGACATTGTCTTCAACATACTTCTTGAGCTTCTTCCAGATCGTCGTCTTGAGGTCGTCGGGGGAGACATCTGGCAGCTTGAGGTCCACGCATGCTTGGTACATGTCGCACTTCTTCCAGTTCCCCTTGGGCGTATCCACCGGCTTACCCTTGTGGTACTTGGCGTTGTCCATGACAAACACCGCAGACCCCCATCCGAGTTCTTCGACTTCGTCCAGCAGTTTCTTGAACCAGTCGACAAAGTAGTCGTGGTTGAACATGGAGTGATAGTCCTCCACCTTCTTGCCATTCTTCTTGCCGCCAACAAAGATGTCCAGGCCCAACAGGTGCGACACGTCGGAACCATCGTCCAGTATTCCAGCAACGAAGCAGTACCGACGGCCCTTGTGCTTCGGCTTTGTCGTCGCGTCGTCCGTCGGGTCGTACAGACTGTCCGCGTGTCGACTGTAATGGTGGTGGATGAAACTCTCATCCAAGTAAACCACGGGTCGTCGGGGGGCATGCGTCACCGTCGGAACCATAAGGGCAACATACGCGTCCCTTGCCTCTTCATGCGCCTTGGTCATGCGATAGCTGATGGTGCCCTTGCGCTTGCCGCGTTCGTATCCTTGCTGGGACAAAAACACTTGGACAGCACGGAGACACGCAGCATAGTCTTTTGGGCAACACGGATCGACCACGACTACTCCATTCTCCAAGAGGTGGGCCAAGACGTCCTTCCCAACTGTACGTGTACGCGTCACGGACCGATCTCGTATGAACGACCGCACCGTGGCACGCACAGCGTGAGTGTTTGGTACTCTGGCCTTGTGGTACTTGGTGTTCGATGGGGGGTCGACAACAGACAGGTCTCCGGTAGCTAACCACTCAGCAAGGACTGCTTTGACTGTCTTGGGAGATC